TAACCTGACTCCTAAACTTAACCCTAACCTTATCCCTAACCCCTAGCCTAGCTAACGTTAGCTAACTAGCTAACATTAGCCACCTAGCTAGAATTCCTAACATATCATACGTTTTGTAAATTCCTAACATATTGTACCTTTTGCAAATTTGTAATATATAATACGAATTGTAATTTGTAACATATCATACGAAATGGGTGATGGACGTCCACAAAATAATACATACCATACAAAATGTAACATATCATACTAAAGGGAGTATATCGAATTAACGTACAGAATAATACAAAATGCTCTGAGACCAGGTTGGACAGTAGCAAATCTACTGATGTCACTTTGTAAAAATGGTTCTCCCTTTTCTTCACCTCCACATTCTCTCTCTCTCTCTCTCTCTCTCTCTCTCTCTCTATTCAATTTCAATTTAAGGGCTTTATTGGCATGGGAAACGTGTGTTAACATTGCCAAAGCAAGTGAAGTAGATAGTAAACAAAAGTGAAATAAACAATAAATATTAACAGTAAACATTACACTCAGAAGTTTCAAAAGAATAAAGACATTTCAAATGTCATATTATGTATATATACAGTGTTGTAACAATGTGCAAATAGTTAAAGTACAAATGGGAAAATAAATAAACATAAATATGGGTTGTATTTACAATGGTGTTTGTTCTTCACTGGTTGCCCTTTTCTTGTGGCAACAGGTCACAAATCTTGCAGCTGTGATGGCACACTGTGGTTTTTCACCCAGTAGATAAGGGAGTTTATAAAAAATGGGTTTGTTTTCAAATTCTTTGTGGATCGCTGTAATCTGAGGGAAATATGTGTCTCTAATATGGTCATACATTTGGCAGGAGGTTAGGAAGTGCAGCTCAGTTTCCACCTCATTTTGTGGGCAGTGTGCACATAGCATCAATCAATCAATCAATCAATTTTATTTTATATAGCCCTTCTTACATCAGCTAATATCTCGAAGTGCTGTACAGAAACCCAGCCTAAAACCCCAAACAGCTAGTAATGCAGGTGTAGAAGCACGGTGGCTAGGAAAAACTCCCTAGAAAGGCGAAAACCTAGGAAGAAACCTAGAGAGGAACCAGGCTATGAGGGGTGGCCAGTCCTCTTCTGGCTGTGCCGGGTGGAGATTATAACAGAACCATGCCAAGATGTTCAAAAATGTTCATAAGTGACAAGCATGGTCAAATAATAATCAGGAATAAATCTCAGTTGGCTTTTCATAGTCCCGACGTGGATGCATGTCTTCTCTTGAGAGCCAGGTCTGCCTACGGTGGTCTTTCTCAATAGCAAGGCTATGCTCACTGAGTCTGTACATAGTCAAAGCTTTCCTTAAGTTTGGGTCAGTCACAGTGGTCAGGTATTCTGCCACTGTGTACTCTCTGTTTAGGGCCAAATAGCATTCTAGTTTGCTCTGTTTTTTTGTTTGTTCTTTCCAATGTGTCAAGTAATTCTCTTTTTGTTTTCTCATGATTTGGTTGGGTCTAGTTGTGTTGTTGTTGTTGTTGTCCTGGGGCTGTGTGGGGTCTGTTTGTGTTTGTGAACAGAGCCCCAGGACAAGCTTACTTAGGGGACTCTTCTCCAAGTTCATCTCTCTGTAGGTGATGGCTTTGTTATGGAAGGTTTGGGAATCGCTTCCTTTTAAGTGGTTATAGAATTTAACGGCTCTTTTCTGGATTTTGATAATTAGCGGGTATTGGCCTAATTCTGCTCTGCATGCATTATTTGGTGTTTTACGTTGTACACGGAGGATGTTTTTGCAGAATTCTGCATGCAGAGTCTCAATTTGGTGTTTGTCCCATTTTGTGAATTCTTGGTTGGTGAGCGGACCCCAGACCTCAGAACCATAAAGGGCAATGGGTTCTATAACTGATTCAAGTATTTTTAGCCAGATCCTAATTGGTATGTCAAATTGTATGTTCCTTTTGATGGCATAGAAGGCCCTTCTTGCCTTGTCTCTCAGATCGTTCACAGCTTTGTGGAAGTTACCTGTGGTGCTGATGTTTAGGCCGAGGTATGTATAGTTTTTTGTGTGCTCTAGGGCAACGGTGTCTAGATGGAATTTGTATTTGTGGTCCTGGCAACTGGACCTTTTTTGGAACACCATTATTTTTGTCTTACTGAGATTTACTGTCAGGGCCCAGGTCTGACAGAATCTGTGCAGAAGATCTAGGTGCTGCTGTAGGCCCTCCTTGGTTGGTGACAGAAGCACCAGATCGTCAGCAAACAGAAGACATTTTACTTCAGATTCTAGTAGGGTGATGCCGGGTGCTGCAGACTGTTCTAGTGCCCTCGCCAATTCTCTCTCTCTCTCTCTCTCTCTCTCTCTCTCTCTCTCTCTCTCTCTCGATAGCGTCATTACACACCGGCTGGTGACAGGTTTAACCTAAAAGATAGATAGCGCCCCCTGTTGGTTACTTATGGTGTCTGAAGATGGTCAAATAAGACATGCCCCATATAACATTAATGTTAACCTATCATACATTTAAAAAATCCATACATTCAATGAAATGCTTATAGTGTAACCTTTTCATATAAAAGTTTCATCTCTGAGCAGTGGCGGTTCTAGACACATTTTACTAGGGGGGCCAAGGAGGGGCCAGTGTTTAATCAGGGGGGCACACATAAAAAAACTGGCAACACATGATATTCAAAGATTATAAACTTTATTTTACTTTAAAATCATATGACATTTATTATAACACGTATTTTGTACAAGAGTGCAGATGCAAGAGAGATAGTGCCATAAAAATGAAAAAATAAAAAAATTAAAATAAAATAAAAAGTACAGGGTACAAATACAGGGTTCATATTCAATGTGAACAAAACTCCAGGATACAACAAAGGGTACAACAATGTGCCATTTCCTATTTATGAAAGCCCCACTACTGTGGACAGTTGATTCCACATTTTGTTTTAAGAAAGAAAACTTTCTGAGTGATTTATAAACAAAACACACTACCCTGTATCCATTTAGGTAAAATAAACCAAATCAGAAAAGAAATTCAATTCAAAGAGGCTTTACTAGCATGACCATATTGACATACAGTATTGCTAAAGCACATAAACAGGGAAACGTGTTACACATTAACATCCAGTAGTCCAATAGGATGCAGACAATAAACATTAAGTTAACATTAGTTTAAAAGCAACAATCATGTCAACACAATGTAGCAATATGAACAACACTGATGGATATCAGCAACAACATGAAAACAAGAATATTATAATATAATAATAATATAATATGCCATTTAGCAGACGCTTTTATCCAAAGCGACTTACAGTCATGCGTGCATACATTTTTTTTGTGTATGGGTGGTCCCGGGGATCGAACCCACTACCTTGGCGTTACAAGCGCCGTGCTCTACCAGCTGAGCTACAGAGGACCAGGTGTGTGTGTGTGTGTGTGTGTGTGTGTGTCTGTGTCTTTGTGTACTTCACTGTCAGTTGATGAGCAGGTGTACAAAAAAAGGCTTTACAACATATATGGGCAAGTCCATTTAGGACAGCACATTTCCACCATAGTTCACATTAGGAAAAAATGACAGCATGAATGCTCACTAAACAAACATATACTACATATACCTTTTTATACACATTTTTTTTCAGTAATTTTTTAAGAGTGAAAGGGAAGTAAGCAATCGCTCATCATAGGATCATACATATTTCAGTTACAATATTAGTTACAATATTAGTGTTAGTTAGATCATCATGTCAAAGCTGGACCTGCAAAGTCTGAACGACACAAGTGTGCAATGATTGGAGTGATTTTTTTTCTTTTTTTTCTTGCTTTGCTTGTTTTCAAAAGGAAAAATCATAGTTGGTAAAAAATAAAATAAACTTTCGTTGAAAGGTATCACACTGTATAATTTACAAATATCTAAAGAGGTTTAGTGGATGCCATAAAACATCTGTGGAGCTTGAAGATTTGTAGTACATAGATGTTTGGCAGAGATAATTCAAAAGAATAAAATCATAAACTCTATCTAACTTTTTTGTTTGCTGGGGCAAAAAATGACTTTATGTCCCTTCCTCGTTTCATGATAACTATTAGAAGAAGAAAAAAACGTAGGGGCATGCATTACATTTTGTTACCTAACCATCCCTCCCTACTTAACACTGGCAGATAACCTGTTGATTACTTTACTAAAAATGTATTTGTTATCGCGATGCAACAGCCAAGACGGATGAAGTTACGTGGTTAACATCACAACATTGTGTAGACCTAGCAAGGATAGCCTACTAACATTTGGATATTTGCTTCTGCTTCGATGAGTTTGCTTAGATATGATTACATTTCTAAACAAATCGAGACCAGACATTTAAAAACTTGATTTGATTTATGTGTGAGGAACAAAAGGAACATGTAGGCTATGTGCAAGAACAACAAGTCACTTATGATATGAAATCGTTTTGCTTACCTTCGACCTTCGGGTGCGCCACTCTAATTTACCCGTGTAGAACGTTGCCGTGTAGAGCGTTGCATTAGTTCCGCTTTTGGCGCTCGCGTGTAAAATAGTTATAAATTCATAATTTTTTATTTGGTCAGCACGGGGGGGCCACAGGGGTGGCCAGGGACATTTCCAGGGAGGCACGGGCCTCCCCCGGCCTCCGTGTAAAACCGCCACTGTCTCTGAGAAAGAAGTCAACTCAACTGTGAGCTAAATTACCTGATTACCTGAAGAGAGCCATCTTCAAGAGGGGCGTGTCTTGGCTGTGACTACGTCACCAACCAGGAAGCTACAGTGGAGAAAAATCTAAACAGGGTCGTCACTAGTTACCACAGCCACAAAGTCATAATTATTGCAAAATCCCGCCTATTTCTACAATTTATCTTGTTAAAATCTGATTTTAAACCTAACCTTAATCACACTGCTAACCTTATGCCTAATTCTAACCTTAAATTAAGACCAAAAAGCACATTTTTGTTTTCATAAATTTTTACGATACAGCCATTTTGACTTTGTGTGTGTGGTAATTAGTGTCAACCACCAGTGCAGTCTATTCATCTCTACTCTATCCACACTGCGATGTCTCGGAAGAAAGAGAAAGAAGAATATTACCGGTTTTTCTCGGTGACAGAACCACGTACACATGAGAAGGGACACACGGAATATAAAGTCACCGCAAGGGTCGGTTGGTCAATTCGTCTTATCGGTATCTTAGTAGCCACTAGCTAGATGGTTAGCGTTAGCCATTTCAATGCGTTGTTTTGACTGTCAGCAATAGTCTTGTTTATAGCTAGCTAGTAGAGACTTTGTCAGGGTGTCAGGATAGATTTATGCAATGCATAGATATGTACCTTAGCTCAATAGACGTTGACAGTGATGGTGGTCCACTGTCATTTCAAGCACATCTATTAGCTAGCTAATGAATTCCAAAGGGGCATTGTTGGGAACTCGTGATTCGTTGCATGACTTGAGCCTCGAAACGCCCGTGACTAATACTAGACCCCTTTTTGGTAGCATCTCTTCATTCAAAGACTCAATCATGGACACTCTCTTACTGACAGTTGTGGCTGTTTCACATGATGTATTGTTGTCTCTACCTTTTTTGTGCTGTTGCCTGTGCCCAATAATGTTTGTACCATGTTTTGTGTTGCTACCATGTTGTGTTGCTGCCATGCTCTGTTGTTGTCTTGGGTCTCTCTTTATGTAGTGTTGTCTCTCTTGTTGTGATGTGTGTTTTGTCCTATATATATATTTTTATCCCAGCCCCCATCCCCACAGGAGGCCTTTTGCCTCTTGGTAGGCCATCATTGTAAATAAGAATTTGTTCTTAACTGACTTGCCTAGTTAAATAAAATAAAACATGGAGTTCATACTATATATTTATTCTATGTAAATACAGTGCACATATTGGTATGTTTACTTTAGATGAATCACCCTTTGTCCTTTCCTGCTCTCTGTCTCTCTGTCTCTCTCTCTCTGTCTCTCTCTCTCTGTCTCTCTCTCTCTCTCTCTGTCTTTCTCTCTCTCTCTCTCTCTCTAGTTTGTCTCCAAGCGTCATCCAGAGGACGTCAAGGAGGTGTTAGTATGGAGGAGGTACAGTGAACTGAAGAAGCTACATGGAGAGTTGTCCTACACACACAGAAACCTGTTCAGGAGACAGGAGGAGTTCCCTCCGTTCCCTGGCGCTCAGCTCTTTGGTATGACCCAGTTAAAGTGATGCTCCAAAACTTTTGCAGAATTTCAGCTAGTAGTAGTGCTCAAGAGCCAAAACGGGTCCCCGTTTTTATGTGTACTACTTCGTTAAATCCTGATTTCAATTTTTTTATTGTGCAATTCGTGTGATATGTCACGAATCCAATTCGTACAGTATGTTACGAATTTGTTGTGCTTAAGATCCCGGACTGCATCTTTAATCAGTCAATCAATTAATAAATCAGTCAGTCTATTTTTTTTTTTTATAAGAACATTTTTGTTTGCAAGTTGGGTCACATTGGCTGAATTTCTTTCTCAGGTAGGTTTGATGAAGGGGTGATCGAGGAGAGGAGGAGTGCAGCGGAGGCCATGCTGCTGTTCACCACCAACATCCCTGCTCTCTACAACAGCCCTCAGCTAAAGGACTTCTTCCGGGTGAGAAACGTAAATACGCAGGCACCAGGGTTTCTTTCCGTTAGCTGGCAATTTTTGCCGGTGTTTGGCCCCCCAAAAAATTTAATAATGCGAAATAATGCTTTTTTTTTATTTATTCATTGATGGAAGTACCAGTCGTTGGAAATACATTTGACCGTCATGCTTATCGGTCTATAGGTTCATTTGTATAATTTAGTGGAATTAAATTGTCCTCTGTGTGTATTTTCATTAGTCATCATGTATCTTATTTATCCAACACTATCACAGCATACAGAGACTATTTTAAAAGGGATTTTTCCTGCTGCTCCTCCGCTGGTTGCTGCGGGAGTAAAACGTGACACAAACTGGTGCGCTTGGCACCTACTACCATACCCCGTTCAAAGGCACTTCAATATTTTGTCTTGACCATTCTCCCTCTGAATGGCACACACAACACAATCCATGTCTTAGCTGTCTCTAGGCTTAAACATCATTCTTTAACCTGTCTCCTCCCCTTTCATCTACACTGATTTTGAAGTGGCTTTAACAAGTGGCCCAAACATTGCACATCAATTCTAAATGCAATCAAGTGCAATACCGCTTGCCGTGCGGTAACAGAGAGAACAGTCTATGACTTGGGTTGCTGGAGTCTTTGACAATTTTTAGGCCTTCCTCTGTCATCACCTGGTACAGAGGTCCTGGATGACAGGGAGTTTGGCCCCAGTGATGTACTGGGCCGTAGGCACTACCCTCTGTAGCACCATGTGGTCGGATGCCAAGCAGTTGCCATACCAGGCGGTGACGCAGCCAGTCAGGATGCTCTCAATGCTGCAGCTGTAGAACTTTTTGAGGATCTGAGGACCCATGCCAAATCCTTTCAGCCTCCTGAGGGGGAAGAGGCGTTGTCTTGCCCTCTTAACCGATGGAAGGCACGACACAAACACCTCAGGGTCTAAGCTACAACCTTTATGAACATGAAAACGTTTGCACGTTTTTTTTATTTATAATTGACGTTCAAGCTTAAAAAAAAAAGCTTTCAAATAATATCAAACTCAACCATTTCGATTTTTCAGTGATGAATACATGGAAGTCTCATGGTAAGTTGGGGTATGCAAAGTGGGTCAACTTTGAGCACCTCTCTTCTCAACTTTTTGCTGTCATGTTTCTCCCTCTTATGACTGTTAGTCATGTGCCTTTGTTGGAGTTCTAGCATAAAAAAATAAAATATACTGCAGTCATTGCAACTATATGTTCAATGACTACATTGAATAACAATCAAAGACACAGAGAAAGCATTGTATGATATACTTTGCTTCCTCGGTGTGCCTTTGATTGCTATTCAATGTAACTGATTAGGAAAAGCATTTTCTACTTTAATGACATCAGTCGGGTCTCAATCAATAGTACGCAAGTATAAACACCATGGGACCTCGCAGCCGTCATACCGCTCAGGAAGGAGACGCGTTCTGTCTCCTAGAGATGAACGTACTTTGGTGCAAAAAAGTGCAAATCAATCCCAGAACAACAGCAAAGGAACTTGTGAAGATGCAGGTGGAAACAGGTACAAAAGTATCTATATCCACAGTAAAACGAGTCCTATATCGACATAACCTGAAAGGCCGCTCATCAAGGAAGAAGCCACTGCTCCAAAACCGCCATAAAAAAGCCAGACTACGGTTTGCAACTGCACATAGGGACAAAGATCGTACTTTTTGGAGAAATGTCCTCTGGTCTGATGAAACAAAAATAGAACTGTTTGGCCATAATGACCATCGTTATGTTTGGAGGAAAAAGGGGGTGGCTTGCAAGCCGAAGAACACCATCCCAACCGTGAAGCACGGGGGTGGCAGCATCATGCTGTGGGGGGGCTTTGCTGCAGGAGGGACTGGTGCACTTCACAAAATAGATGGCATCATGAGGAAGGAAAATTATGTGGATATATTGAAGCAACATCTCAAGACATCAGTCAGGAAGTTTAAAGCTTGGTCGCAAATGCGTCTTCCAAATGGACAATGACCCCAAGCATACTTCCAAAGTTGTGGCAAAATGGCTTAAGGACAACAAAGTCAAGGTATTGGAGTGGCCATCACAAAGCCCTGACCTCAATCCTATAGAAAATGTGTGGGCAGATCTGAAAAAGCATGTGCGAGCAAGGAGGCCTACAAACCTGACTCAGTTACACCAGCTCTGTCAGGAGGAATGGTCCAAAATTCACCCAACTTATTGTGGGAAGCATGTGGAAGGCTACCCAAAACGTTTGACCCAAGTTAAACAATTTAAAGGCAATGCTACCAAATACTAATTGAGTGTATGTAAACTTCTGACCCACTGGGAATGTGATGAAAAAATTAAAGCTGAAATACAGTGGGGGAAAAAAGTATTTAGTCAGCCACCAATTGTGCAAGTTCTCCCACTTAAAAAGATGAGAGGCCTGTAATTTTCATCATAGGTACACGTCAACTATGACAGACAAAATGAGGAAAAAAAATCCAGAAAATCACATTGTAGGATTTTTAATGAATTTATTTGCAAATTATGGTGGAAAATAAGTATTTGGTCAATAACAAAAGTTTCTCAATACTTTTTGTTATATACCCTTTGTTGGCAATGACACAGGTCAAATGTTTTCTGTAAGTCTTCACAAGGTTTTCACACACTGTTGCTGGTATTTTGGCCCATTCCTCCATGCAGATCTCCTCTAGAGCAGTGATGTTTTGGGGCTGTCGCTGGGCAACACGGACTTTCAACTCCCTCCAAAGATTTTCTATGGGGTTGAGATCTGGAGACTGGCTAGGCCACTCCAGGACCTTGAAATGCTTCTTACGAAGCCACTCCTTCGTTGCCCGGGCGGTGTGTTTGGGATCATTGTCATGCTGAAAGACCCAGCCACGTTTCATCTTCAATGCCCTTGCTGATGGAAGGAGGTTTTCACTCAAAATCTCACGATACATGGCCCCATTCATTCTTTCCTTTACACGGATCAGTCGTCCTGGTCCCTTTGCAGAAAAACAGCCCCAAAGCATGATGTTTCCACCCCATGCTTCACAGTAGGTATGGTGTTCTTTGGATGCAACTCAGCATTCTTTGTCCTCCAAACACGACGAGTTGAGTTTTTACCAAAAAGTTATATTTTGGTTTCATCTGACCATAGGACATTCTCCCAATCCTCTTCTGGATCATCCAAATGCACTCTAGCAAACTTCAGACAGGCCTGGACTTGTACTGGCTTAAGCAGGGGGACACGTCTGGCACTGCAGGATTTGAGTCCCTGGCGGCGTAGTGTGTTACTGATGGTAGGCTTTGTTACTTTGGTCCCAGCTCTCTGCAGGTCATTCACTAGGTCCCCCCGTGTGGTCCTGGGATTTTTGCTCACCGTTCTTGTGATCATTTTGACCCCACGGTGTGAGATATTGCGTGGAGCCCCAGATTGAGGGAGATTATCAGTGGTCTTGTATGTCTTCCATTTCCTAATAATTGCTCCCACAGTTGATTTCTTCAAACCAAGCTGCTTACCTATTGCAGATTCAGTCTTCCCAGCCTGGTGCAGGTCTACAATTTTGTTTCTGGTGTCCTTTGACAGCTCTTTGGTCTTGGCCATAGTGGAGTTTGGAGTGTGACTGTTTGAGGTTGTGGACAGGTGTCTTTTTATACTGATAACAAGTTCAAACAGGTGCCATTAATACAGGTAACGAGTGGAGGACAGAGGAGCCTCTTAAAGAAGAAGTTACAGGTCTGTGAGAGCCAGAAATCCTGCTTGTTTGTAGGTGACCAAATACTTATTTTCCACCATCATTTGCAAATAAATTCATTAAAAATCCTACAATGTGATTTTCTGGATTGTTTTTTCTCAATTTGTCTGTCATAGTTGACGTGTACCTATGATGAAAATTACAGGCCTCTTTCATCTTTTTAAGTGGGAGAACTTGCACAATTGGTGGCTGACTAAATACTTTTTTTCCCCACTGTAAGTAATTCTCTCCTATTATTCTGACATTTCACATTCTTAAAATAAAGTGGTGATCCTAACTGACTTAAGGCAGGGAATATTTACTAGGATTAAATGTCAGGAATTGTGAAAAACAGAGTTTAAATTATTATTTTTTTGGCTAAGGTATGTAAACTTCCGACTTGAACTGTATATATTTTTGGCAAATGTATTTTCATTTACTTCCCTATTGGACCCACCGCTAGTGGTGTTTGTTTAACCGTAACCGCCTGACTATAAGTGAAAATCTGAGGCCAGTACCCAACCCTGACTCGCAAATATAGAAAATGCACTATATTCTACTGTCAAACATGGGGTGCAGGATTTTTTAGTTGTTGCCTGATTTTAGATATATTTCTGCTTATAATTTCCGACATTTTGGTAGGCTATTTGTTAGTTAATTTGTCTATAATTAGATATAATGACAGAAAAGAAGCTGCATGTATGTTGCCCTAGAAGACTTAAACCATTGCTCAACAGAATAATGCGATAGATCTGTAAAGTGTTCTCTGTCATTCACGGAGTAAAGATGGAGAAAATACAGATGGAGAAAATACAGTAAAAAAAAAAAAACGGAAAAGATTTTCTGTGCAAAATGTCCAAAAATACTTAAAATGCATTACCATAATCTAAATGGGATTTTTGTTATTCTGAGCACTGTGGGTGGACGCCATAATGGGTTACCCACCCAATGCATATGGGTCCTGTACGTTCCTCAAATGGCTGGTAAATATGGGTCCTGTACGTTCCTCAAATGGCTGGTAAATATGGGTCCTGTACGTTCCTCAAATGGCTGGTAAATTAAAATCTTCCGGGGTCACGTTGTCTGGTGCCACATTTTCCTAACGGAAACCTTGATACACACACACACACACACACACACACACACACACACACTCTATCTCGCTGTCATACTGTGTTCAACCATGTTGGATCTTGCCCAGCCATCTTGTTGGATCTTGCCCAGCCATCTTGTTGGATCTTGCCCAGCCATCTTGTTGGATCTTGCCCAGCCATCTTGTTGGATCTTGCCCAGCCATCTTGTTGGATCTTGCCCAGCCATCTTGTTGGATCTTGCCCAGCCATCTTGTTGGATCTTGCCTAGCCATCTTGTTGGATCTTGCCCAGCCATCTTGTTTCCAGAGGACCACAATGGAAATAAGTCCCATACTTTATTGTGTGTTATCCTCCATGATTTTACTCATGGCTTTTTCAAGTTTTGTATGTGCTTGTTTTTTTTTTTTAAACAGTCGAATTAATAAACTAAACTCTCCTCCCTCTCTCTACCCGTCTCCTCCCCTCCCCTCTCTCTACCCGTCTCTCCCCCTCCCCTCTCTCTCAAACCCCCCCTCTCTCTACCCATCTCCCTCCCCTCTCCCCTAGTGTGGAGAGGTTATCAGGCCGTTGGACCCATCTCCTCTCTCCGCCTCCACCCCCCTCCCTCCCCCTCTCATCCCCCTGCCCCACCGTCGAGGCTCAGACTGTGAACCAGAGGAGGAAGGGACCGAGGGCCCTATCCAAACCCAGAACCTGGGCCTTTCACTGGGCACGGATCTAGTCGAGCCTGAGGTGGCAACTGAGGCCTATAGTGAGATGGGTGCTAGTCCTACTCCGGCGGCAGTAACACCTACAGAAGAGGAGGAGGAGGAGGAGGAGGAAGAGTTGACGGACCTTCCTGATCTAGACGACAGAGGTAGAGAGACTCACTAGTGCTGAGCATTTTCTTTCTGTTTTCTTCTGAAATCAATGTGCACACTGTGCGCTTTCTCTAGAGATAAATCAGATCAAGCCCAAACTGTGCGATGTAGTACGGAGTTGTAGTTTCCAACAGGCCAATATTCGACACAGTTTAGCGTAGAAAACTAACGACAATGACCATATTCAATCAATCAATCAAATGTATTTATAAAGCCCTTTTTACATCAGCAGATGTCACAAAGTGCTTACACAGAAACCCAGCCTAAAACCCCAAACGGCAAGCAATGCAGATGTAGAAGCATGGTGGCTAGGAAAACTCCCTAGAATAGCAGAAACCTAGAGAGGAACCAGGCTCTGAGGGGTGGCCAGTCCTCTTCTGGCTGTGCCGGGTGGAGATTATAAGAGTACATGGCTATTGAGGCCAGATCGTTCTTCAAGATGTTAAAACGTTCATAGATGACCAGCAGGGTCAAATAATAATCACAGTGGTTGTAGAGAGTGCAACAGGTCAGCACCTCCAGGAGTAAATGTCAGTTGGCTATGCCTGCTATTTAAAAGAGACAGAAGAATGTGGGATAGAGAGCAGCTGCTTCGAGGTATCTCTACCTGAAAATACATGATCAAAGTGATTGATCGTTGGTATTCAGCAGTCATAAAAGTATACCCTTATTTACTTTGAAGAACTACTAAAATAGTGATTTAGTCAGACAGCAGCTCTATAGCTCTTCCATCTAACCTTGACATTTATCAGTAACCAGGTTCCCATCTAACCTTTACATTGATCAGTAACCAGGTTTCCATCTAACCTTGACATTGATCAGTAACCAGGTTTCCATCTAACCTTTACATTGATCAGTAACCAGGTTCCCATCTAACCTTGACATTTATCAGTAACCAGGTTCCCATCTAACCTTGACATTTATCAGTAACCAGGTTTCCATCTAACCTTGACATTTATCAGTAACCAGGTTCCCATCTAACCTTGACATTTATCAGTAACCAGGTTCCCATCTAACCTTGACATTTATCAGTAACCAGGTTCCCATCTAACCTTGACATTGATCAGTAACCAGGTTTCCATCTAACCTTTACATTGATCAGTAACCAGGTTTCCATCTAACCTTTTTATGCGAATAAAGTACATGTTGGATAAAAAAAAATGTCACGACAGGCCTGATAGAAACTCCACATTTGTGGGTAAACTTTCCAAATGTCGACACAACAAATTACACGCTAGACAAGGTGGGGTCTTTTCGTGTCGGTAAAATTTAATTGTGCGAGAAATGGCGCAAATATTGATTATAATAACCATCATATCGACGTAAACCTGGAGAGCAGGCCTCAGATTAACTACACGTCTTACGCAAAGACTTAAGAAGCTTCTAAAGAAAAGTAGAAAAAGAAGTGCAATTCCTCACCAATATCTTAAGATTCCATGATTTTCTTACAAACTTCTCTTATGAACTTTTTAACTATCTACAGTGCCTTGCAAAAGTATTCATCCCCCATGGTGTTTTTCCTATTTTGTTGCATTACAACCTGTAATTTTAAATTGATTTTTATTTGGATTTCATGTAATGGATATACACAAAATAGTCCAAATTGGTGAAGTGAAATGAAAAAAATAACTTGTTTTCAAAAAATTCTAAAACAATTAATAATGGAAAAGTGGTGCGTCCATATGTATTCACCCCCTTTGCTATGAAACCCCTAAATAAGATCTGGTGCAACCCAATTACCTTCAGAAGTCACATAATTAGTTAAATAAAGTCCACCTGTGTGCAATCTAAGTGTCACATGATCTGTCACATGATCTCAGTACACCTGTTCTGAAAGGACCCAGAGTCTGCAACACCTCTAAGCAAGCGGCACCACCAAGCAAGCGGCACCACCAAGCAAGCGGCACCACCAAGCAAGCGGCACCATGAACAACAAGGAGCTCTCCAAACAGGTCAGGGACAAAGTTGTGGAGAAGTACAGATCAGGGTTGGGTTATAAAAAAATATCAGAAACTTTGAACATCCCACGGAGCACCATTAAATCCATTTATAAAAAAATGGAAAGAATATGGCCCCATAACAAACATGCCAAGAGAGGGCCACCCACCAAATCTCACGGACCAGGCAAGGAGGGCATTAATCAGAGAGGCAACAAAGAGACCAAAGATAACCCTGAAGGAGCTGCAAAGCTCCACAGCGGAGATTGGAGTATCTGTCCATAGGACCACTTTAAGCCGTACACTCCACAGAGCTGGGCTTTACGGAAGAGTGGCCAGAAAAAAAGCCATTGCTTAAAGAAAAAAATATGTTTGGTGTTCGCCAAAAGGCATGTGGGAGACTCCCCAAACATATGAAAGAATGTACTCTGGTCAGATGAGACTAAAATTGAGCTTTTTTTGCCATCAAGGAAATGCTATGTCTGGCGTAAACCCAACACCTCATCACCCAGAGAACACCATCCCCACAGTGAAGCATGGTGGTGGCAGCATCATGCTGTGGGGATGTTTTTCATCGACAGGGACTGGGAAACTGGTCAGAATTGAAGGAATGATGGATGGCGCTAAATACAGGGAAATTCTTGAGGGAAACCTGTTTCAGTCTTCCAGAGATTTGAGACTGGGACAGAGGTTCACCTTCCAGCAGGACAATGACCCTAAGCATACTGCTAAAGCAACACTTGAGTGGTTTAAGGGGAAACATTTAAATGTCTTGGAATGGCCTAGTCAAAGCCCAGACCTCAATCCAATTGAGAATCTGTGGTATGACTTAAAGATTGCTGTACACCAGCGGAACCCATCCAACTTGAAGGAGCTGGAGCAGTTTTGCATTGAAGAATGGGCCAAAATCCCAGTGGCTAGATGTGCCAAGCTTATAGAGACATACCCCAATAGACTTGCAGCTGTAATTGCTGCAAAAGGTGGCTCTACAAAGTATTGACTTTGGGGGGGGGGGGGGGGGGGGGGGGGGGGTGAATAGTTATGCATGCTCAAGATTTCTGTTTTTTGTCTTATTTCTTGTTTGTTTCACCAAAAAATATTTTGCATCTTCAAAGTGGTAGGCATGTTGTGTAAATCAAATGATACAAACCCCCAAAAAATCAATTTTAATTCCAGGTTGTAAGGCAACAAAATAGGAAAAATGCCAAGGGGGGTGAATACTTTCGCAAGCCACTGTACTTAAGATGATTGATGCTAGGCAACTGCTCTAGCTAGCTACTGTATCAATCATGTTGGCATATTCATTACTGAGATTACTTTTCTAAAACATGTTCTTGGGTTTAAAATAACCAAAACTGAAACTTTCAGATGTTTGTGAGTGAGAAGAAGGTTTTGTGAATCAGGGCCCAGTGTATTAGCCTACAGATTAAATAAGTTATGATGAACTTCACAGGGTGGTGAATGTGCACGGTGATCTAAATCAAATGTTAATTTGTCACGTAGTCTACACAAGTCGTTTATGAAGTAACAGTGAAATGCTTACTTACGGGCCCTTCCCAACAATGGAGGGAGGGAGAGGGAGCGAGAGAGAAGTAAAACACGTTATAATAAATATACACTGGGTACTAGTACTGAGTCGATGTGCAGGGATACGAGGTAATTGAGGTATATATGAACATATAACTAGGAATAAAGTGATTAGGCAACAGGATAGATAGTAAACGGTATGTGATGAGTCAAAAGAGAGTTAGTGCAGAAAGGGTCAATGCAGATAGTCCGGGTAGCTATTGGTTAACCTCCACGGCAGCGTTTCCCAAACTCAGTCCCCAGGACCCCGAAACACTACGCAGCTGATTCAAAGCTTGATGATTAGTTGATTATTTGAGTCAGCTGTGTAGTGCTGAGGGCAAAAACCAAAACGTGCCCCCCTTGGGGTCCGAGGACCGAGTTTGGGAAACCCTGCTCTATGGGATCTCGTCTCTCTCTCTCTCTCTCGCTCTCTCTCTCGCTCTCTCTCTCGCTCTCTCTCTCTCTCTCTCTGTCTCTGTCTCTCTCTCTCTCTCTCTCTCTCTCTCGTTCTCCTCTCTCTCTCTTTCTCCTCTCTCTCTCTCTCTGTCTCTCTCTCTCTCTGTCTCTCTCTCTCTCTTTCTCTCTCTCTCCTATCTCTCTCATCATCATCTCTCTCCTCAGTGGTGTAGTGATGCCTGGAGAAGTGGATATACTCTAATGTTGCCAAACATCCAGCCTGCCAAAGGAAAGGCTCCCTGTGTGAAAGATTCTATGAGAAACAGACATACACTCTGGCTGACCTAACATGATGAATCCCATATTGGTGTTTCACAGTCAGGCCAACCTAAGCTTTACTGTGTTGTAGGCTATTAGTAGATCTACTATTGAAACAGATGAATGCGGCTGTCAACTGAGTCAGAAATTCACAGGTTTCAGATTTTTATTTGTATTAAATGAGGTTTTCACTCTCGAAGTCACACAAAAAATAAATAAATAAAAGATGTTATGCTATGTTCTAAGTCCATAACAATGCTTAAACCACATCAGGAGACAATTGTTTTAGGTCTGGGAAAAATCTAAAAAAAAAAATGGTGTAGTTGCCCTTTAATTCAAGTGCACAGGCACCTAGCACTGTTGCTTGGTTAGCAGTGTTTCTGTAGTACATGAGATGGCGTTAGCAAAACAAATGGCCACTGGACTGATGCAAATAATCATATCACTCTGCCAGGTAGGCATAGGCTACTTTGTAGCTAGTTAACCTCTACGGGATCGGTGTCCTGTATACGGGACGGTTGAGCAAACGTGCGCTAATGTGATTAGCATGACTGTTGTAAGTAACAGCAAACGATCCAGGACATAGACATGTCTTATATGGGCAGAAATCTTAAATTATTGTTAATCTAACTGCACTGTCCAATTTACAGTAGCTATTACAGTGAAAAAATACCATGCTATTGTTTGAGGAGAGTGCCCAACAACAAAACGTATCATGGCAACTGGTTTAATACATTCACCTCTGAAGGTAAATAATGTACTTACATTGTCATCTTGCTCTGATTTGTCATCCTAAGGGTCCCAGAGATAAAATGTAGCATAGTTTTGTTTGATAAAGTCCATTTTTATATTCAAATGTAGGAGCTGGGTTCTACAGTTTGAACCCCTACTGTCTCTGGCTCCACACCCACATCGCCCAGCCATCTAGATGTGTGAAAGTTAGTGTATAAGCTAATGATCCGTCATGTATGACATTCCTGGGAGTGTGTAAACTTACATTTTGTATTACCATATCATTTTTGTATGTTCTCTATAGTTATGTACTTGAAAATGTATCAATTGACCAATTTGGCACATTTGGGCAGACTTGATTCAAAATAGTCCAATATTGCAACGCTTCACTGAATCAATCTGAAACTTTGCACACACACACTGCTGCCATTTAGTGGCCAAAATCTAAATTGCGCCTAAACTGCAATATTATATTGCGGCCTTTCTCTTGCATTTCAAAGATGATGGAACAAAAAAAAAATGGGGGGGGGGGGGGGAAACGCATGTTTTTTGGTTTAATATCTTTTACCAGATCCAGACTTGGTGTATCTGTAACGCTTGCTGTGCGGTAGCAGAGAGAACAGTCTATGACTAGGGTGGCTGGAGTCTTTGACAATTTTTAGGGCCTTCCTCTGACACCGCCTGGTATAGAGGTCCTGGATGGCAGGAAGCTTGGCCCCAGTGATGTACTGGGCCGTACGCACTACCCTCTGTAGCGCCTTGCGGTCCGATGCCAAGCAGTTGCCATACCAGGCGGTGATGCAGCCAGTCAAGATGCTCTCGATGGTGCAGCTGTAGAACGTCTTGAGGATCTGAGGGCCAAACCTTTTCAGCCTCCTGAGGGGGAAGAGGTGGTGTCTTGCCCTCTTCACGGTGTGTTGGTGTGTTTAGACCATGATAGATCCTTAGTGATGTGGTCTCTGACCTCCTCCCTATAGGCTGTTTCATCGTCGTCGTGTCCTCAGTAAACTTAATGATGGTGTTGGAGTCGTGCGCGGCAACGCAGTCGTGCGTCAACAAGGAGTACAGGATGGGACTAAGCACACACCCCTGAGGGGCCCCCGTGTTGAGGATCAGCGTGGCAGATGTGTTGTTACCTACCCTCACCACCTGGGGTCGGCCCGTCAGGAAGTCCAGGATCCAGTTGCAGAGGGAGGTGTTCAGTCCCAGGGTCCTTAGCTTAGTGATGAGCTTGGCGGGCACTATGGTGTTGAACGCTGAACTGTAGTCAATGAACAACATTCTCACATAGGTATTCCTCTTATCTAGGTGGGTGAGGGCAGTGTGGACAGCACTGTGCGGGGGGGCGTCTCAGATGGATGAGGGGCAGCTCTCGAGGAACTGTGGCGGGATCTTGGATGGTTGGTGGCCTGGTGGTTGGGAGCTTTGGTCGGTGGCCGACCGGTCGCTGGTTCGGGTCCCCGATTTGACTTGGTGGGAGATCTGTCGATGTGCCCTTGGGCGGGGCGCTTGACCCTGGTTGCTCCTGTTGGTCGCTCTGGATGGGAGTGTCTGCTAGATGACTGAATGTGATGTAAATGTTGAGGGGCTTCACTGCAGGTAGATTGTCTGTTTTTAATATTCAATAAAAAGTGTGTCTGTGTGTTGCCAGTGTAAAATGTGATGGAAACTCATTTAACTTGTATTTTTTTTTATTCAGTACACGGGAATTTAACCCCAAAAGGTATTTTTATGTGCACTACGTCATCACGCACAGACTTTTATCCACAACAATATCCATATCAATATGATGGAAATGCATATTTTTGATGTAGATTTTAGAATATTCTAATAAATCTGTCGCCAATTAGATGGAAACCTAATTGCTATAGAGGTTGACTTTGGATTGAACACATGTAAATGTTCTTGATTCTAAGTCTCCAGCTCAATAGTCAAAAGTAGCATCCTCGTCTGCTTCAACTGGAAACACAGGAGGGGTTGAAAGCCTTAATGTATAGCTTAGTGAAAAAATTATCTATACAGTAACATTTTACTAATTAATTTAGCAGACACTCTTATCCAAACTTACAGTTAGTGCATTCATCTTAAGATGAGACAACCACATATCAGTCGTATCGCAATAATTTTTTATATGACCTACAGTGAGGGGGAAAAAGTATTTGATCCCCTGCTGATTTTGTACGTTTGCCCACTGACAAAGAAATGATCAGTCTATAATTTTAATGGTAGGTTTATTTGAACAGTGAGAGACAGAATAACAACAAAAAAATCCAGAAAAAAGCATGTCAAAAATGTTTTATAAATTGATTTGCATTTTAATGAGGGAAATAAGTATTTGACCCCCTCGCAATCAGAAAGATTTCTGGCTCCCAGGTGTCTTTTATACAGGTAACGAGCTGAGATTAGGAGCACACTCTTACAGGGAGTGCTCCTAATCTCAGTTTGTTACCTGTATAAAAGACACCTGTCCACAGAAGCAATCAATCAATCAGATTCCAAACTCTCCACCATGGCCAAGACCAAAGAGCTCTCCAAGGATGTCAGGGACACGATTGTAGATGGAATGGGCTACAAGACCATCGCCAAGCAGCTTGGTGAGAAGGTGACAACAGTTGGTGCGATTATTCGCAAATGGAAGAAACACAAAATAACTGTCAATCTCCCTCGGCCTGGGGCTCCATGCAGGATCTCACCTCGTGGAGTTGCAATGATCATGAGAACGGTGAGGAATCAGCTCAGAACTACACGGGAGGATCTTGTCAATTATCTCAAGGCAGCTGGGACCATAGTCACCAGGAAAACAATTGGTAACACACTACGCCGTGAAAGGCTGAAATCCTGCAGCGCACGCAAGGTCCCCCTGCTCAAGAAAGCACATATACAGGCCCGTCTGAAGTTTGTCAATGAACATCTGAATGATTCAGAGAAGAACTGGATGAAAGTGTTGTGGTCAGATGAGACCAAAATCGAGCTCTTTGGCATCAACTCAACTCGCCGTGTTTGGACGAGGAGGAATGCTGCCTATGAGCCCAAGAACACCATCCCCACCGTCAAACATGGAGGTGGAAACATTATGCTTTGGGGGTGTTTTTCTGCTAAGGGGACAGGACAACTTTACCGCATCAAAGGGACGATGGACAGGGCCATGTACCGTCAAATCTTGGGTGAGAACATCCTTCCCTCAGCCAGGGCATTGAAAATGGGTCGTGGATGGGTATTCCAGCATGACAATGACCCAAAACACACGGCCAAGGCAACAAAGGAGTGGCTCAAGAAGAAGCACATTAAGGTCCTGGAGTGGCCTAGCCAGTCTCCAGACCTTAATCCCATAGAAAATCTGTGGAGGGAGCTGAAGGTTCGAGTTGCCAAACGTCAGCCTCGAAACCTTAATGACTTGGAGAAGATCTGCAAAGAGGAGTGGAACAAAATCCCTCCTGAGATGTGTGCAAACCTGGTGGCCAACTACAAGAAACGTCTGACCTCTGTGATTGCCAACAAGGGTTTTGCCACCAAGTACTAAGTCATGTTTTGCAGAGGGGTCAAATACTTATTTCCCTCATTAAAATGCAAATCAATATATAACATTTTTGACTTGTGTTTTTCTGGATTTTTTTTGTTGTTATTCTGTCTCTCACTGTTCAAATAGACCTACCATTCAAAATTATAGACTGATCATGTCTTTGTCAGTGGGCAAACGTACAAAATCAGCAGGGGATCAAATACTTTTTTCCCTCACTGTATATGCACCTAAGTATTGTGATAATATCGTATCGTGAGGTCCATGGCAAATCCCAGGCCCTAGTATAGCCCACTAAGTTCCTTTCACCTGTCCTGTTCTTTCACATCTGTGCAGATGAAGGACAGCAGACAAGGGGAGGAAGCCACTTAAAGGATCCCCTGCCAAAATGACAAAAGTGGCTGTTAAGTGATGTTCTGGTGATTTGTCAGCCTTGCTGTTGCTTATTATTGAGATGTTCTCAATTCTAAATGTTCTCTTCCCTAGTTCCTTCTCCGTTCCAGCCCTGCGTCCTCAGAACAGACCAATCACAGTCTCAGGAGGAGTTTGATTTGCTGTTCGATTCTGTGATGCGGGAGGAGCCTACAGAGGAAGTACCGCCCCCTCCTCTCTCCGACAACGACCTCGCCATCTTTGACCCCTGTGCTAAAGAAGGTCAGAGGTTACACACACACGCGTACAGAGGAGAGGCCACACTACTACACACACGCGTACAGAGGAGAGGCCACACTACTACACACACGCATACAGAGGAGAGGCCACACTACTACACACACGCGTACAGAGGAGAGGGAACACTACTACACACACGCGTACAGAGGAGAGGCCACACTACTACACACACGCGTACAGAGGAGAGGCCACACTACTACACACACGCATACAGAGGAGAGGCCACACTACTACACACACGCATACAGAGGAGAGGCCACACTACTACACACACGCATACAGAGGAGAGGCCACACTACTACACACACGCATACAGAGGAGAGGCCACACTACTACACACACGCATACAGAGGAGAGGCCACACTACTACACACACGCATACAGAGGAGAAGGCCACACTACTACACACACGCGTACAGAGGAGAGGCCACACTACTACACACACGCGCATACAGAGGAGAGGCCACACTACTACACACACGCGTACAGAGGAGAGGCCACACTACTACACACACGCATACAGAGGAGAGGCCACACTACTACACACACGCGTACAGAGGAGAGGCCACACTACTACACACACGCATACAGAGGAGAGGCCACACTACTACACACACGCATACAGAGGAGAGGCCACACTACTACACACACGCGTACAGAGGAGAAGGCCACACTACTACACACACGCATACAGAGGAGAGGCCACACTACTACACACACGCATACAGAGGAGAGGCCACACTACTACACACACGCATACAGAGGAGAGGCCACACTACTACACACACGCGTACAGAGGAGAGGCCACACTACTACACACACAGAGGAGAGGCCACACTACTACACACACGCATACAGAGGAGAGGCCACACTACTACACACACGCATACAGAGGAGAGGCCACACTACTACACACACGCGTACAGAGGAGAGGCCACACTACTACACACACGCATACAGAGGAGAGGCCACACTACTACACACACGCATACAGAGGAGAGGCCACACTACTACACACACGCGTACAGAGGAGAAGGCCACACTACTACACACACGCAACAGAGGAGAGGCACACTACTACACACACGCATACAGAGGAGAGGCACACATACACAAAGCCTACAGAGGAGAGGCCCCCACACTACTACACACACGCCCATACAGAGGAGAGAGGCCACACTACTACACACACGCATACCGAGGAGAGGCCACACTACTACACACACGCATACAGAGGAGAGGCCACACTACTACACACACGCATACAGAGGAGAGGCCACACTACACACACACGCATACAGAGGAGAAGGCCACACTACTACACACACGCATACAGAGGAGAGGCCACACTACTACACACACGCATTACAGAGGAGAGGCCACACTACTACACACACGCATACAGAGGAGAGGCCACACTACTACACACACGCATACAGAGGAGAGGCCACACTATACACACACGCAGAGAGGAGAGGCCACACTACTACCACACAACTTCATACAGAGGAGAGGCCACACTACTACACACACGCAGAGAGGAGAGGCCACACTACTACACACACTTATACAGAGGAGAGGCCACACTACTACACACACGCATACAGAGGAGAGGCCACACTACTACACACACGCATACAGAGGAGAGGCCACACTACTACACACACGCATACAGAGGAGAGGCCACACTACTACACACACGCGTACAGAGGAGAGGCCACACTACTACACACACGCATACAGAGGAGAGGCCACACTACTACACACACGCATACAGAGGAGAGGCCACACTACTACACACACGCGTACAGAGGAGAAGGGCACACTACTACACACACGCGTACAGAGGAGAGGCCACACTACTACACACACGCATACAGAGGAGAAGGGCACACTACTACACACACGCATACAGAGGAGAGGCCACACTACTACACACACGCATACAGAGGAGAGGCCACACTACTACACACACGCATACAGAGGAGAGGCCACACTACTACACACACGCATACAGAGGAGAGGCCACACTACTACACACACGCATACAGAGGAGAGGCCACACTACTACACACACGCATACAGAGGAGAGGCCACACTACTACACACACGCATACAGAGGAGAAGGGCACACTACTACACACACGCGTACAGAGGAGAGGCCACACTACTACACACACGCATACAGAGGAGAGGCCACACTACTACACACACGCATACAGAGGAGAGGGCACACTACTACACACACGCGTACAGAGGAGAGGCCACACTACTACACACACGCATACAGAGGAGAGGCCACACTACTACACACACGCGTACAGAGGAGAAGGGCACACTACTACACACACGCATACAGAGGAGAGGCCACACTACTACACACATGCATACAGAGGAGAGGCCACACTACTACACACACGCATACAGAGGAGAGGGCCACACTACTACACCACAGCATACAGAGGAGAGGCCACACTACTACACACACGCATACAGAGGAGAGGCCACACTACTACACACACGCATACAGAGGAGAGGCCACACTACTACACACACGCATACAGAGGAGAAGGGCACACTACTACACACACGCATACAGAGGAGAGGCCACACTACTACACACACGCGTACAGAGGAGAGGCCACACTACTACACACACGCATACAGAGGAGAGGCCACACTACTACACACACGCGTACAGAGGAGAGGCCACACTACTACACACACGCATACAGAGGAGAGGCCACCACTACTACACACACGCATACAGAGGAGAGGCCACACTACTACACACACGCGTACAGAGGAGAGGCCACACTACTACACACACACGTACAGAGGAGAAGGGCACACTACTACACACACGCATACAGAGGAGAGGCCACACTACTACACACACGCATACAGAGGAGAGGCCACACTACTACACACACGCGTACAGAGGAGAGGCCACACTACTACACACACGCATACAGAGGAGAGGCCACACTACTACACACACGCGTACAGAGGAGAGGCCACACTACTACACACACGCGTACAGAGGAGAGGCCACACTACTACACACACGTACAGAGGAGAGGCCACACTACTACACACACGCATACAGAGGAGAGGCCACACTACTACACACACGCATACAGAGGAGAGGCCACACTACTACACACACGCGTACAGAGGAGAGGCCACACTACTACACACACGCGTACAGAGGAGAGGCCACACTACTACACACACGCATACAGAGGAGAGGCCACACTACTACACACACGCATACAGAGGAGAGGCCACACTACTACACACACGCGTACAGAGGAGAGGCCACACTACTACACACACGCGTACAGAGGAGAGGCCACACTACTACACACACGCATACAGAGGAGAGGCCACACTACTACACACACGCGTACAGAGGAGAGGCCACACTACTACACACACGCATACAGAGGAGAGGCCACACTACTACACACACGCATACAGAGGAGAGGCCACACTACTACACACACGCGTACAGAGGAGAAGGGCACACTACTACAATGAAATTCCACCACAAATATCTGTCACTTATACATTTTTTTAAAAACCACTTTTTATCCAGTGACAGGAAACAGCAACATTACCTTTTTTAAAGGGGAGAAAACAACATCTTATCGCACAATAGGGACTGGGAAATGACACACACACACAATCTAACACACATTCTTTAGTTGTATTGTTTGTATAACGTGTGACTGTCCTTGTCTGTCAGTGTTTTGTTGCTTCGTGTTTAATGTTTTTGTGTTGACCCCAGGAAGAGAAGCTGCTGCTTCTGGAAAAAGCTACTGGGGATCTGAATAAAACCAAACCAAACTTTCTATCGCTTTCTTTTTAGCTTTTATTTCAACCTCTCGGTTCTTCATGGTCCTGTTCTTTTTCATTACTCATTTCTCTTGCCCCAGACCAACCGAGTGCATCACACAACCAATCAGAACTTCTGTCACTGCCCCTGACCAATCCGGACGCCGGGGAGGCGGGCTATCTGAGGCAGGCAGCCAATGAGCTCACGGCTGCGATGGCGAGCGAGAAGGAGGGAAAGTACAGTACAGCCATACAAAAATACAAGACTGCTGTGGATTTACTCATCACTGGAGTTAAAGGTGAGAGGGATGGAGAGAGGAGGGGGGTGTAGAGGGAGGGATGGGGAGAGAGAGGGGGGGTGTAGAGGGAGGGAGAGAGAGGAGAGGTAGAGGATGTAGGGATGGTATCGAGAGAGGAGAGATTGGGGTGGAGAGGGATGGGATGTGTGAGGAGAGATGGGGGTTGGAGTGTGAGAGAGAGGGGGGTTGTAGAGGGAGGGATGGGAGAAGAGAGGGGGAGGGGTTGGGGGGGGGAGAGGAGAGGGAGGGAGAGAGAGGGGTGTATAGGAGAGAGAGGGGGTGTAGAGGGAGGGAGAGAGAGAGAGAGAGGGGTGGAGAGGGAGGGATGGGGAGAGAGAGGGGGGTGTAGAGGGAGGGATGGGGAGAGAGGTTAGAGAGAACAGTGTAGGTACTATATTGGTAGTTGAGAGAGGGAGACATCTCTCCCTTTTTGACTTCTCTGCCTAATGTCCTTTATCTCTCTGTCTCTCTCTCTCTCTGTCCCTCTCTGTCTCTCTCTCTGTCTCTCTGTCTCTCTCTCTGTCTCTCTCTCTCTCTCTCTCTGTCTCTCTCTCTCTCTCTCTCTCTGTCTCTCTCTCTGTCTCTCCCTCTCTCTCTAGGAGATCCAGACCCACAACGTAGAGGGTCGGTAAAGAGAAGAACTGCTCAGTATCTGGAACACGCAGAGACACTAGTCACACTGCTCACCTCCACACACACCTCGCAGGACTCACACACACACTGAGGAGAAGGACTCGTAAACACACACATGAACAGGACACTGAAACACACACACACACACCTCTCTCTCCCTCCCTGCCTCTCTCTTAAAACCACAGGAGGTTGGTGGCACCTTAATTGGGGAGGACGGGCTCGTGGTGATGGCTGGAGCGGAATCAGTGGAATGGTATCAAATACATCAAATACATGGTTTCTGTTCCAGACGGTCCTCCCCTCAGCAGCCTCCTATTGCTTCAAACGCACACAGAAGCACTAACACGCACACACACACACACACACACACACACACGCACACGCACGCACACACACACACACACGCACACACACACACGCACACGCACGCACGCACACACACACACACACACACACACACACACACTATGAAGCAGCACAAAGAATAACATCCCTGTTGCTTTATATCAGTGGGAATTCTTGAATCTGAAATCAACTGTTTTAAATATTTTGAATCTGATTCCCCTTTAATGAACAAGACACTGTGCTGCTTCCCAAAAGGGCACCCTATATTCCCTATATTAGTACACTGCTTTTTACCAGGGCCCATAGGTGAATACTAAGCTTCCAGGGCTCTGCTCAAAAGTAGTGCATTATCTAGGGGAATAGGGTGACATTCGGGACACGGACATTGTCCACTTAATTTATCTTCCTAAAGTCTTTTACAATGTTTTTAAGGTGTTCATATTATTGTGTTTCTTTGTACACTACACAAACATGAGTTAATTGTTTTTATAAAGAAATACGATCGTGTATGGTACTATGGTGGTTGTTGTTATACTGCGGGGCTAGGGAGTTTTTCCATGACCATGTCACCTCACCACGAAGAACTCCATTCAATTCAGACAATTTTTAAGGAAGTAAACTGAAATTCAAATTTTTCTTCAATGCTTCTCAATGAGAAACAATTGGAATTTCGAATTTCAGTTTACTTCCTGAATTAATAATTCAGATCAAATGGAATTGACCCCAAGCCTGTTTTTTTTGTTTTTTTAATCAAGCCTATAATACAGACTGGATACAGTATATTGCCATCAGTTCTGAACCTTGAAGCCAGTTCCACTGCATTTTTTTTATTGTTCCCCTCTAATCAGGGACTGATTTTAGACCTAGGACACCGGGTGTGCAATTAATTACCAGGTAAAACAGAAAAACCAGCAGGTTCCGGACCTTGTAGGGTAAGAGTCGAGTACCCCTGGTATATTTTGTGTAGTTGTAGTAGCTAAATTCTACCACCGTGTGTCGCCGTTGAGCAGTTGTCTAATTTAAATATTTGTCTCAGACCCACCAGAGATACAGATAAAGACATCAACAATGACTGAAGGATTCCATCTGCTTATAGACACCCAGAGGAATAGTCTTCTTAGATACCTAACCTCTGACCACAAGGGAGGAAAGAAGGGAGGGAGAGAGAGCGAGGGATGAGATGAAAAAATGGAGAGAGGTGATTAAAGGATGAGGGGATGATCTCTTCATTGTCCGGGAAAAACGGACAGGAAATAAATCTCTTATCTCACTCCCTCATTCTATCTTTCTCTCGCTTTCGTTCTTTGTTTGTGCATTCTGCGTAGTCTGGAGAGAAGGAAGGAAGGATGGATGGATGGATGGAGAGCGAGGGGGAGAAGCTTGCACCTGTGAAAATAGAGGGATGGAGACAAAGAGATGGAGAGAGAGAGAGGGTTGGAACAACACAGGGAGGGGGAGAGCAGCAGAGCATTAGCATGCTGATAGTGTCAGCACTCATCCCTTTCACTCTTCTCTTTTCTCTCTTTCTTTCTCTATATCCATCCCTCTCTCTATCCCCCTCTCTCTTTTTACCCCTCTATCATCTCCACATCCCCTCCATCCCGCTCTCCTCTCTGTCTGTGACAATTACACCATCAAAACACTCCAGTCAGAGAGGATAATTGGTGCCAGTGTTGTAGCGAGAGTGCGATATAGAGTGTGTGTGTGTATGTATGTGTGTCCAGTGCTTTTTTTTCAGTAAGCACAGCTTGTATGGGCAGGCAGTGTTTTTGTGCATAAATGTATGATTTTTCAGATTGTGTGTGTGTTTAGATATGTTCTATAGTGTATGGCTAGGGTCTTTCACCTCTGTGTGACAGCCTGCTTGGTCCGAGGGCACGGAAGCAGTTTGCTCAGGGCTTGCACGCGTATACACACACATTGAGTGTACAAAACATTAAGGCAGACTGACCAGCTGAATCCAGGTGAAAACTATGATCCCTTATAGATGTCACTTGTTAAATCCACTTCAATCAGTGTAGATGAAGGGGAGGAGACAGGTTATAGAATAATTTTTAAGCCTTGAGACAATTGATTGTGTACGTGTGCCATTCAGAGAGTGAATGGGCAAGACAAAATATTTAAGTGCCTTTTGAACGGTGTATGGTAGTAGATGCCAGGCGTACCGGTTTGTGTCAAGAACTGCAACACTGCTGGGTTTTTCACACTCAACAGTTTCCTGTGTCTATCAAGAATGGCCCACCACCCAATGGATATCCAGGCCAACTTGACACAACTGTGGGAAGCATTGGAGTCAACATGGGCCAGCATCCCTGTGGAACGCGTTCGACACCTTGTAGAGTCCATACCCCCAACGAATTGAGGCTGTTCTGAGGGCAAAGGGGAGGGGAGGGGGGGGGAGGGGAGGGGGTGGCAACTCAAAATTAGGAAGGTGTTCCTAATGTTTTGTACACTCAGTGTACACACGGACATCAAACGCACACAGAACAGTCTCACACACCTTAGTTGAGAGCTACTCTACTTCTGTATGTAAAACTCAACTCACACTTATACACGCACGTATGCACATACTCACACAGAATCACTAATGTGAAACACATGCATAAATGCACTCACACACACAGACCCACTCAAACACATTCCAGTGACCTAGATGTATTGCAGGTCATCCCCCACCCCCAAACAAAGCCTAACACCTCAGTGGTCTGCTGTGAAATGATTAGGCATAATGTTTCCTGCCACTGCCCACATACAAGCAGCTGTTGCTGGAAAGAGCACTGGAAACTCTCTCTCTCTCTCTCTCTCTCTCTCTCTCTCTCTCCCTCCTCTTCTCTCTCTCTCTCTCTCTCTCTCTCTCTGCCACGCACACACACACACACACACACACACACACTCTCTCTCCTCTCTCAATTTCAATTTCAATTTAAGGGCTTTATTGGCATGGGAAACGTATGTTAACGTTGCCAAAGCAAGTGAAGTAGATAGTAAACAAAAGTGAAATAAACAATAAATATTAACAGTAAACATTACACTCAGAAGTTCCAAAAGAATAAAGACATTTCAAATGTCATATTATGTATATATACAGTGTTGTAACAATGTACAAATAGTTAAAGTACAAATGGGAAAATAAATAAACATAAATATGGGTTGTATTTACAATTCTGTTTGTTCTTCACTGGTTGCCCTTTTCTTGTGGCAGCAGGTCACAAATCTTGCTGCTGTGATGGCACACTGTGGTTTTTCACCCAGTAGATAAGGGAGTTTATCAAAATTGGGTTTGTTTTCGAATTCTTTGTGGATGTCTGTAATCTGAGGGAAATATGTGTCTCTAATATGGTCATACATTTGGCAGGAGGTTAGGAAGTGCAGCTCAGTTTCCACCTCATTTTGTGGCAGTGTGCACATAGCCTGTCTTCTCTTGAGAGCCAGGTCTGCCTACAGCGGCCTTTCTCAATAGCAAGGCTATGCTCACTGAGTCTGTACATAGTCAAAGCTTTCCTTAAGTTTGGGTCAGTCACAGTGGTTAGGTATTCTGCCACTTTGTACTCTCTGTTTAGAGCCAAATAGCATTCTAGTTTGCTCTGTTTTTTTGTTAATTCTTTCCAATGTGTCAAGTAATTCTCTTTTTGTTTTCTCATGATTTGGTTGGGTCTAATTGTGTTGCTGTCCTGGGGCTTTGTGGGGTCTGTTTGTGTTTGTGAACAGAGCCCCAGGACCAGCTTACTTAGAGGACTCTTCTCCAAGTTCATCTCTTTGTAGGTGATGGCTTTGTTATGGAAGGTTTGGGAATCGCTCCTTTTAAGTGGTTGTTCGAATTTAACGCTCTTTTTTGGCTTTGATAATTGGGGTATCGGCAAATTCTGCTCTGCATGCATTATTTTGGTTTTTGTTTGTACACTGAGGTATTTTGCAGAATTCTGCTGCATGCAGAGTTCATTTGGTGTTTTGTACATTTTGTGAATTCGGTTGTTGTGAGGGGACCCCAGACGTAACACCTATACAGGGGAGCAATTGGTTGATAAATTTTTATTGTTGTTTGGATGGGACC